AGTTGCAAGCCAGGATTCACAGGGGAATTCTGCCAAGGTAGGGCTGGGAATGCTGGTGAGCCCTCCCCAGTCTGTCCATGGGCACCGAGGGAAAGGTGATGGAGTTACCATTGCTCTCCACTCCTGGAGCACATCCCAGCTCCTGGTGCATTCTGCACCCCTACAACCATATCCTGGCTACATGCTGGTACAAGACCCAGCCACAGGCCATTTTCTTCATCCCCAAAAGCCTTAATTCTTTGGCTGTGCCATGGTGTAGGGTGTAGGGCACAGCTGCCTCACAGTTTCAGAACAAGCACATGCACCCTGGCACAGATACAGTGAAGCCCCTTCCAGACACTGCCCCAAAACTGTGTCTTCTTCCTCTGAAGGAGAGGGTCTCTGTCCCTCTAGTTCCCTAGACAGACAGGGTTGTGTGAACAACCCTCAAAAGGGACCAGACTGTCTTTTGCCCAGTGTCTCTGAAGAGCCCTAGAGCAGCCTGCAGCAAGGCTGGGATGAGAGGCTGCTGAGCTCAGTGGGACTGTGCCAGCCTGCAGCTGCCCTAGGGCTCCTTCAGGCTTCTCCCTTATTGCTATTGCAGATGGCTTTTTCCCCCAGATGTGGTGCTGAAGTTGGCCTGTGAGGAAGAGCACATGAAGATGATGGTGAGGAAGGAGGTGTTTGAGCTCTTGAAAATCCCGCTGGAGCTTGTCCACTTGAAGAACAAGGCATGCAAGGTCTCAGAGAAGGAAGAAGAGGGTGAGCTGTTTTTTGCAGCCACTCTCACAGGTGAAAACCACACTGCCTGTGGATCAGTAATCCAGGTGAGGATCCATAGCTCCAAAGCCAGGAGAGAAGCAGACATGGTGAGATGGGACAGCAAAAGGCAACCCCAAAGGCTTTTGCTTTTATATCTGCATGCTGAAAAGTTCTCATTCCCCTTGAAAAGTTTTCCCTAAGGATGTCAGAAAGCTCTTCTGCCTCTACAAAACCCCTGCTGGCAGCAGATTTTGTCTTATTTAGAAGAGCTTGGAAGACTCATTGTGGGCTGGCAACAGCCCTCAGCTTTCTGGGGACATCCTCTGAACTCTGCAGCCTTGTCCCCTTGGTCCCTGACTTGCTTCATGGAGCAGGAAGGGTGCAGATGAAATGGCGCTCCAGCTCTGCATTGCACAGAAGAGTCCTTTGCTCACCTGTGCTCACTATACTGACCCAGCAGGCCAGAGACACAAGCTGAAAGCCCAGCAGATATCCAGGCCCAGAGCAGCTATAGCTGAGTTGTGCCTTCTGAACTTGCAGCTCTGTGTATGGCTTTAGTCATCCTCTGGAGATTTGATTTCTGTGTCGTTCCAGCAAAACAGCTCCCATGTCTCGTACTCCAATGTCATGGAGTCAGAGCAGGAGGCTGCCAGGGCCATGATCTCCCGCAGTTTCCAGCTGGAGGTGCACTTCTCCTGCATCTACGCCTACGAGCAGATTGTGAGACTGCCCTTCTCTCTCACTGCTGTTGACAAGTGAGTGTCCCATTTCACCTTGCTGCTGACACGGTGATCTTTGAGCTTGGAGAAAAGTAGATTCAGTGAGACAATTTGCAAAGGCCCTGGGGAGCCCTAGAGAGCTCTGAGAGCAATGCCAGACACTGGTGACTTCACCTCTGCTATGTCCTTTCCACCTCCTTGTCCTACTCGTGAGCTCTCATCCTCTCCTCTCAGGCTGGTACAGTTTGTGGTCAGAGAAGGACACTTCAATGTCAGCATGAGATTGTACAAGTCCCCCTCCTACCTCGAGCCTTATCACCTGCCCGGTGTGGCTGTCACCCTCACGGACACAGTCTATGTCCTGCTGAAGATAGAAGGGCAGCACCAGCTCAAGTACTTCCTGCTGAGTGTTTTGGATTGCTGGGCCACGCCGAGCGTGGATCCACACCAGGACATGCAGCACAAGCTCATTGAGCAGGGGTGAGTGCAGTGTCCCCAGCACACCCCGTGTCCCTGCACCACAGTGCGTCAAGGACTGACACAGAAACGGGCCTGTTCAGTTTAGCCTGTCAGTGCACCCCGTCCCTGTGGGATATGGTATCCCAGGATGGGATGCTCCACCTCGCTTGCCACCCACTGATCCAGCCCTCATGTCCCAGGTGTCCCCATGACGAGACAGTGATCTATCTGAATGCCATTGGAGAGAGCACTGCTGCCAAGTTCAGCTTCCAGATGTTTCAGTTTGTTGGTTACCCCAAGGTGTTCCTGCACTGCCGTGTCCAGCTCTGTGTTCCTGACAGCCCAGAGCCCTGTGCCAAGGTGAGCTCCTTTGCAGGTCTGCACCATGCCCTGGGTGGGTGCAGGACCCTGGGTGGGTGTGGGACCTCCCTTCACTAGCTCTACCTGGAAGAGGGGCTCTGCTCTTGTTTTGGGGGCCTCACAAAATAAACACCTCCCGAATCAGGAGCTCAGCCCAAAGGCACAATGGCCTGTACCCACTAGAGACCTCCTTTCCCTCATCCCTGGGAAAGGAAGGGAGATCTACAGGATGGCCCAGGTGCAGGTGCTTCTTCCCTGCCCTGCTATCACCCTTTGGCTTTGTTGACAGCAATGCCCCAGGCACTGGAGGAGCAGGCGGGCACTGGCAGGTGACTACAATAGCATTGTGTCCTACGGGCCCATCCTCCTGCTGCCTGCTCCTTCCTCGGGAGCAGAGACCCATCATTCCAGCGCTGACCAGCAGGACCCTGCGGGTACGTACGTGTGTCCTGAACACTGAGGTCAGTCCAGGAGATCCAAGCAGCAATCCAGGAGCAGGGCTGGGGGCAAGCCCATCCACAGCATGGCTCAGAGCAGGCATGCATGCTGGGCTGTAGGCAGCAGGGGTGGGTGGAGGCCATTTGAGGTGACCGAGTCCTGTTAGTGCCCTCAGGATCCCAAAGTACCCCCAGCTCCTGTGGCTCCTGCCCATCACAGGGGATGACCTCCCTGAATCTATCCCCAGTCAGGGAATGCCTTGCCAGGGCTCAGAGCTGGCTCAGGGGACCCCGATACACAACCAATGTCTCTCCTCTTTGGCAGGACCCAACCCATGGCTCTCCAGGGCCCTCATTCCATTGTGTGTGCTCACTGTGCTCACTGTGGCTGCTGCAGCCATCAGCGTGAGGCAGCGGATGCTTTAGGAAACAGTTGTTTCCCAATAAATATGACAGAAGCAGAGAGGCTCTTGCTGTGTCTTTATGGGTGTTTTGGGGAAGGGGGTAATGGCTGGATGCAAGCAGTGCTTGAAGGGTGAGCTGCATTACAGTGTTTCTGTTCCCTGCAGCATCTCTTGGACCTTCTCCCCTCCGGGCCCATAACTGAACCCAGAGTATGTACCCAGGGATGGGAGAGTCCTTCCTCCTGCTTCCCTCCTCCCCACAGAGTCACCCTGCTGTGTGAGGAGATGGAAGTGCCCCACTCTAGATACCTGCCCTACCAAAGCTGTCTTTGCATAATTCTGTGCCACACAAATGTAGCATTAGCAGAGAAAAGGCTGCTTTGTGCATGCACACGTGTGTGTGTGCACCCATCCATACTGATTTCTCTCTTCATTCATGACATTGCTCTTTTCATTCATGGCAAAGTGCCAGCAAGACTTTTCCCATTGATACATCCCTAATATAAAGCAAATAACAAACAATATTGTAGGTATTAAAGACTAAATTCACAGTGCTCAGATGGCTGGCAGGGATTTAATACCAAAACACAGATCAGGAGAAGACAGCAGTTGCCCTGCAAGGCAGCTGTGTGTGCATTTTGGCTAGAGCACAATGTCCATGAGGGAATTGCTGCTGGCCCCAGGGGTTGCAGGAAGGACGTGCAGCAGATCTCTGCCAGAGAGCAAGAAGAAATATAAATATAGAAGCAAAAGAAGCTTTGCAAAGAAGCTCGTGGGTTTCCTCTTCTTGTTGTCGCTTCCCAGACACAAATCTCCCACATCTGGGCTGGAGCAAGTCAATCCTCTCCCTCCAGTGGCAGGAAACTCACTGCCAGGCTGGTTCAGCACCAAAAGCCACCTCTAACGAAGAGGGTGATGGTTCCATCCTGGCTGAAGGCAGGTGCTTTGTGGGCTTCCTCCTTGTCCCCTGGAGAATGAGATCAGGGGCACCTCAAGACCATGGAACTGCAGCCTGTAGCTCCTTGCCCAGGGCAGGCCACCAGGAATGAAAGGGACAAAGCAAAGAGCCCTGCTGAGGTGGATCATGCCCACTGAAGGGTAAACTGAGGCGTGGTTAACTCATCTCTCCCTCCATGAGGAAGCTGCATCTGCCAGGATCAAAGACTGTTCTCAGTGGATGCAGGTGCAGGCAGGGAGAGAGGTCCAGCCAGGAGCTGATCCAGCTAGGAGCTAGTCCTGGGAGGCTGTGGTAGTTTTCTCATGTCTGATGATGTAGGAGAGGGAACCAGTGGTCTCCCTTGTCTTTGGGTAGTACAGGACAACCAACCAGATGAATATGAAGATTCCTGCAGGGAAAGGAAGACAAATACTCAGCAGCAGCAGGAGACAGTGGGAAGCATCTTGCCAGGATGCTAATGACACTTTCCTCCTGCTTCCAAGGGATTGTCTCAGCTCAATCCTGCCCCCCTCGCCCCACCTTCACATGAACCCTTTGGCTGGGACATGCCCTGAGTGGATAATGTCCATGGTCCTCTGCTAAGGAATGTCTTTCTCAGAGGAAAACCACCATGGGTGGAGAGAGTGTAATTGGGAGCCATGAGCAGCTCCATGCTGGTATTTGGTGTGCCCTGACAAAAGAAAGGGCATGACAGTGCTGGGAAGACACTGGTGCCTTGGGATCCCTGGTCAACCCACAGCCAGGCTGACTCCTGCCTGCTCCATCTTCCCCACCCAAGCCCAGGGAACCCAGCTCAGAGTGAGTGCTGACCTTGGAAAGAGTTGAGGATGGTGAAGAGGTAGAGCATGGCTGTGGAGGAGATGCCATAGGTGAGGAATACCAATGCCCAGGTGGCGCCCAGCAGGCAGAAAAGCCCTACTGACACCAAAGCCACCTTCCAGGGCTTTTGGTATCCCTGCACTGCCCCAGTGCCCTGCAAGCTGCAGCTCTTATGGGTCACCACCCCAAAGATAGCCATGTTGAAGAGGAAGATGAGGCCAAAGTAGCCACAGTTGGTGATGTAGTGGACCAGAATATGTTTGGAAGTGATCCAGCACCTGAAAAGAGACAACCATGATGTCTCCAGCAGCCATGCAAGCATCAGCAGCACCTATGGGAGCCTTCCCTGGGGGCATTTTCCAAGGCCAGGGTGAAGCAGGGGGACAGTGGTGCATATCCACTGCCCTTGTGTTGCTCAGCTGGGAGGGAGCCTGACCAAGCTCCAAGTGGACCTTGGACATCCCTCCATAACCTGGAGGGCTGCAGGCATGACCAAGGAGGTTTGGCATGAGAGGTGGGGGTGGCTGATGTGTTGCAATCACAATTAAGGAAGCAGAAGCAGAAGCATGGTGCAAAGCCAAACCACATGGGTGCAATCCCTGAGTGCTGCACTCCTGGCAGGACTGAGCTACCCCTCCCTGTGCCAAAGGGACACCTGAGTCCTGTGGGCAGTGGCACACGCACATGTTGGCTATGACCTGGTGGTCCATGGTATGGATGTTGTATTCTCCATAGCTGCCAATAATTCCTGCCACTCCCACCACGAGAACAGGGAAGCCTGGAAGAAAGGAGACACAATCACAGAATTGTTTCGGTTGGAAAACACCTCTAAGATCAAGTCCAGCCATTAACCCAGCACTGCCACATTCACCAATAAACCATGTCCCCAGGTGCCACATCCACTCATCTTTTGAACACCTCCAGGGATGGTAACTCCACCACTGCCCAGGGCATCCTGTTCCAGTACCTAACCACCTTTTCAGTGAAGAAATTTTCCCCAATATCCAATCCAAACCTCCCACTGCCCCTCTCACCCCCCATCTCTCGTCCAGGCTCACCCCAGCCAACCAGGCACAGCTTTGCCAGGTAGCGGTGGATGTAGATGCCGAGGACCTTGACAAAGAGGAGGTAGAGCTGGCAGCCCTCCAGCGCTGTCCAGGTGAAGCAGCAGAGCAGGCAGTAGTGGGTGAATCCCCCCAGGACCCTACAGGTGCTTGGGTGGGCCCTGCCAGAGAGCCCACTGTTGAGCAGGAAGGCCAGGTTGAGGAGGAACAGGCTGCCAATGAGGTTCATGTGCAGCCCCAGGTTGATGCGGACGGTCTCCTCAAACCTGAACCTGCACCTGAGTGTCCCACAGGGGCCAGGAAGGGCAGGGGTCACAGGTGAGCAGGGCCTCGTGCTGTACCACAGCAGGTCCATGCAGAGGCACTGGCACTGCTCTGCATTTCTCCCAGCCTGGCAAGCCCCCGTGGAGCTGCTGGCACATCCCACCTTATGAAGATGCAGAAGGCCATGGTGAAGAGGGAGAAAGCCATGGCTACCCCACAGCCAGCGGTGGCAACAACTGTCAAAGCTTTTGCTGTGGAGACATCCAGAGATGGGATCTGCCAAACATGAAGATGTTGGGTTAGACAGGCCCTGGATCAGCCTAGAAAACCTGACTGCAGCTACCAGAGCCATGGGGCTGATAACCCCAGGGGCTGCTGCAGAGACCCCATACCAGCCCCCAGAAGGCCTTCAAGGGAAGCAGGGCAGAGGTGGCTCAGAGGAGATGCTCTGAGGTAGGGGGAGGTGAGGGTGACCACCATGAGCACCCTCCTGGGAGTCTCCAGCAGGATATGGGACCTCAAGCCTTGCTATTCCAGAGCCTGCACAAAGCTGGGATCTTTTCCACCCTGTCCTGCTCAGCTGACCTGCTGCTGCCCTCCTGAGCTGGGGCTGTGCTTGGTTCTCAGATTGCCTGAGAACAGCTACAATTGTCCCTGTGTGGCTACTCATGACACCCAAGGGGCCACAAAAGTGGGCAGACAGTACTGCCAGGACACAAGCAGGAGCTGCAGGAAGCGGGATCGTCACCAGGAGGAGAGTGAAGAAGCTGAGATGGTCACAGGAGCAGACTGTCCCCTTGTCCCCGGGCTGTGTGACACATCCACTCCTGTTCCAGCCTCCAGCCTGTCCTGCAACAGGCACGGGGAGCGGCTGTGAGTGCTGGTACAGCACCTGTGCCAGCCCCACACCTGCCCCCACCAGGGCATACCTTTGCTGGGATCCCAGAAGACACATTGAGGGGTGACACCCTGCAGGGGGGAGAGCAGGATCAGCTAATGCCACGGCATGGGCACTGGAGGGGAGAGGGAGGGCAGGCAGGGCTGGCTTACTCGGGGCAGCTCCCTGTGGGCAAACGTGAGCTGCACAGGCTCCTGCAGCCCCGAGATGCTGCTCTCTCCCACTGTGATCCCCACCACGGTGTTGTCCAACACCTGCGCTGTCTGGTTGAATTCCTGTGGAGGGGAAATGCTGCAGGAGCTGAGCTGGTTGGTGGCAAGTGCTGGTGGCAGCATGAAGGATGCTGGCAATGCCAGCCTGTACCTTGAACATGCCAAGCTGCTGGATATTGAGGACTGTCACCACCACATGCACCGTTTTGTTAATCAGGGACCGGAATATCTCCCTGGGGAGGTGGATTTTACCTGCCTTCCCTTTCTCTGTGTTTTTCAGCCTGCTGGGTCCCTGCAGCAGAGAACAGTGAGAGGTTGTTGCTGTCTGGTCACATCTCTGTGCAGAACCCACCCATCTTGCTCCAGGCATAAATTCAGCCCGGGCCAGGTGGGTTTGCTGAGCAATATCAGCAGAAACCTTGAGGGCAGAAGGGAAGAAGCTCATCCCCAGCACCCAGGAGCTATGGGGACAGAGCTGGGAGTGAGACTCAGCAGATTCTCTACCCACCATCACCCACACATGGTCCCCTGGGACACCCAGAGCCTGGATGGACAGGAGGCACCAGGTCACACATGTCTCTCTTCCTTTCCTACCTCACACTCCCCCTGACCACCCGGTTTGCTGGGATGGCTCCTTGGGGCTCTTTCCTCTCAAGTCACCTCACATGACTCCTTGCCAAGGGATGTTGATGTGGGCACATGATGCAACCACACCGGGAGGAGGAAGAGCACAGCAGGGCACATCACACCCTGGGGCAGGGGCTGAGACATGCTTGGAAGGTGTGGGACCTTCCAAGCAAGGAAGAGGGAGGGGCAGATCTCACCTCTGTGGGGGAGAAGGCGATGCGGATGTCATCGGTGACAGCCCTGCTGACAGTCAGGAGCAGCGTCTTGAGCCCAGCCAGCAAACTGTGCTGCCCCGACTGCAGCAGCCTGTGGGACAAGGGCGCTGTGGGACAGGTGGACATGGGGACTGAGCCCACAAACCCTGTCATGGCCATCCCTGGCACTACCTGAGGGAGTGCTCCCGCAGGCAGGCACAGGCGCGGCTCGCAGAGCTCCACAGCTCCGGGCAGCGCTGGGACAGGCGGAGGATGTTCCCTGGGTTCTGCTGCTCCACCGCCGTGTTGCAGCACTCACGGTGATCATCACCCCGAGCCGGGACTGGGGAGGGTGGGAGCAGGTGACCACTGGGCACCACAGCACTGGGTGGGGCATTGGGAGCAAGGGTAGGGATGGCAGGGGACCACTCACCAGAACAGCTGTCCTGTCCTTCGGCAACATCTGGAAGAGGAGTTTATGGAGAAAGGGGGGTAAGCACCAAAATCTGGGGTCAGAGAAGGCAAGAGATTCTGGCAGCTGCAGGTTTTAAAGGAACAGTCCTGGAGCTACGTGGGCTTCAAAAACACCTGGACCGTGATCGGAGCTGGTGAGGGCAAAACCAGCCTGCCAGAGGGGCTCAGGAAGGAGACCCTGGTCTGCTGAACCCAGGTTTTAAAAAAGCCCCCAGCAACAAAGCCCCAACTCTGCTCACCTCTGCACATCCCAGTGGGGACGCTCCCCTCTGGCACATTTCAGGATTAAATCCCCATATGGTCTTTTAGTGAACATTTTCCCATGGGAAAACCTTCCCACAAAGCCCATGCACCTCCTGTGCTAAGGATACCTGTCCCCTCTTCACCTGCCACTCACCAGGCAGCATCAGGAACAGCAGGACAGCGCCCAGGAACAAGTTCATGCCACTTTGTGGGGTCTCCTGGCTGCACCTGGCCATCCCAGCACACTCTGCTCCCCTTGTCCCGGCAGCTCTGCTCTACCCCAGGCTCCCCCAGGGCTTGTGGGCACTTCTGAGGCAAGAGCTGTTCCTCATTTCCCTTCTGGGAACTCCTCATGCCTTCCTGTGGGCTGGCAAGTGACCTCCTGTCCCAGCCCAAAGCAACGGCACCAACCGCCAGAGCCACGTCGTTCCCACGACCGATTCCAGGCTTTTTGCTTTCCCTTTCTCCCCACAGCCCTGCCAAGGGCTTGATGGCCCTAACCAGCCCAGCAAATGCTGGAGCATCCTCATCCTAAACTGGGCATCACCACAAGGATGAAACATCCCCTTCCTGACAAGGTGCCCCTGCCCCAGCTGGGTGCTGGAAGATGGGTGGAGGGGGATGATCTGCAGCCAGCTGGAAGGGGAATGGTGGGATGGGAAATGGGGTGCTGTGCTTGCAAGGGCACAGCCAGATTCTGCCTGGCCCCACAGCCACTGAGGGCGTGATTCCCATCCTTTGATGTCTCCCCGTCCTTCACCAGCCTCCCTTTCTGCTGGTTAGTGACAGTCCCCAGACACTTCCCAGCCCATGGTGCCTCCCTCCATAACCACAACCCCAATGGCACCAGGCAGCCAGTGCTCTGCCAGGAGCACCAATATCAGCCCCAGCCCAGCAGAATTCTGTAGGGTGAAACACTGGGTCCTGCCCCAGAAATGGGATAACCCAGATGAGAGATGGAGCCCATTGCAGAGCCCACCAATGCACTGAGCACAGACCCCAGCAAGCCACACTCCGAAAAAAACAACTTTAATGGGCACAAGTCTGGTGTGTAGGCATGCTCACTGAACTCCTACATCACCCAAAAATAGACATCCAACAAAATAACAAAAATAGATTATTTCAGCTGCCTGAGGGTGTGGCAGGGGCAAAGTCATTCTGTCGTCCCTGGGGAAGGACTCTCAAGGTGACCACCAGCAAGGGCTAAAAATTGGGCCTTTCCCACCCATCATCCCTGGCCTCAGGACATGGGAGAGGACATCCAAAGGCACTGGGGACCCTGTCCCTGCCCCTTCCACTTTTTACAGCCTCCACTGCCCAAGTAAGTATCCCTCCCTCCCTCCTTCCCTCCTGCCCCAAGGGTGCCAAGCCAGTCAGGATGGAGTGGGTGGGAAAACTGGGGAGGGGGCCAGCAGAGGTGGGGGGTGACCAGCCCCACTGTGGGTCCCTGGGCTCCTCGTGGCACTACAGGGCAAGTGCAGTAGCAAAGCAGATGGTGTGGTCCTTCTTGTGGCCGTCCTTGGCATGGGGAGCTCTGGCACGGCTCGGCCACCATGGGCTCAGCTGCTGCTGGGCTGCAGCTTGGCACTGTCAGAGCTGCTCTGAGAGTCAGGGGACTTCCTCGCCTGCAGCACCATGGTCCAGTACCAGAGGAAGATGAGGAAACCTGGCAGAGGGCAGAGGAAACGTGGGTGAGCCCCCTTGAAGGAAAAACAGCAGTTGAGAGAGAGCCACCCAGCCTGCCAGAGCTCCTCTTCCACACCATCCCCATCCCAACAACACCCCTGAAAATCCTGGCGCCCTTCAGAGGAGCCCAGAGTCACAGGCTCACCTTGGAGGGAGTTGATGATGGTGAAGACGTAGAGGGAGACAAGGCAGAACACACCAGAGGTGAAGGAGAAGAAGATCAGTGCCCAGGGGATGCCCAGCAGGATGCTCAGCCCGAGGAGGGCCAGGACATGCTTGAGCTTGTGGCCTTTTTTGTTCTGCCGGAGGATCTCCCGTACCATGGCCCCCAGCATGACTGAGTTAAAGAGGAACACCAGGCTGAAGAAACCCAGGTTCACGATGTTATGGATCAGGGGGCTGGTGATCCAGCATCTGGAGGGAGGAGAAAGGGCAGAGGGTGACACTGTGCCCTCCCACAGGGTCACAGGGAGGGGCTGGGAGAAGCACAGAAGTGTGGTGCCAGCCCAGCGCCCAGGGAAGGGGGATCCCTCTGGCACAAAGCCCAGAAAAGCCCCAGGCCATGGTGAAGGTTTAGCCAGCTGACTTCACTGATGACCGGAGAGCAGGTAACCCACATCCCAGGACTCACATGGTTGCATCGGTGGATCTGCCATCAATGGATTCAAAGATGGGAACAGAGAAGGGGCCGTAGTTGTTCCAGCTAGCCAGGAAGATCAGCATCACACACAAGAAGGGGAATCCTGGGTGGAAAGAGCAGAGTGAAGTGGCTGCCCTACTCCCTGGCCTTCTGGAAGGACTTGTTGCCCTTTTCTCCTTGCATAGAGCACAACCAACATCCTCCTTCTCAAAGGGAAACCAAGGATAGAACACACAACAAGGAGTAGTGCTGTGCTGACCCCAGCTGGGAACCTCCCAGGGATGTGGAGCTTTAGGCCATAAAGGTGGAATCTCACAGGTCTCCATTGCTGGGTGATCTCCCAGGATGACCCACCCTTGCTTTAGCACCACCTTCTGCTCTCAGCCTTCAAGCTTCTCCACCAAGGCTCTTGACAGAGAGCTGCTCCCCCACAGCTGTGTCTCCATCCCCATCCAGGCATGGTATCCAGTAGGAATGACCTACCTGAGTGCCCCTCCTACCCAGTGCCTGCCTCCCCCATGCTCACCCCAGCCAACCAGGCAGAGCTTGAGGAGGAAATGGTCGTGGTAGGCGTTGAAGACTTCGATCACAAGCCGGTAGAGGTTGTAGCCCTCGATGCCCATCCAGGTGAGGCAGCTCAGGAGTGAAAAGTGCAGAAACAACCCCCCAGCTCTGCAAATGGCCTCGCTGTTGCTGGCAGCCAAGTGCTCAGAGATGAGGAAGGTGATGTCCAGGAGGAAGATGGCGAACAGCAGGTTCATGTGGATGTGCATGCTCGTGATCTGATCTCGCTGTTTGCTTCTGGAGAATCAAAGGCAGCAGAACTCACCACCATGCCTGGCCAGCACCAACGGTGCCCACAACACCCCACAGCCCTCCATGGGGCAACTTGCCCCAGCAGAAGAGCATGGAGACTCTTTGGTAGTGCCAGGGACTGAGAAACCAACCCCACAGGTGGGATCACCCATCCCACATGCAAATCCAGCCCCCTGCAGCTGACCCTGCACTGAAGATGCTCAGAGGGCTGAGTGAGTTGGGGTTGTGCAGCCTGGAGAAGGCTCCAGGGAGGCCTTTAAGCACCTTCCAGTGCCTAAAGAGATCTAGGAAGAGACTCTGAAAAAGGGCATGGAGTGACAGGACAAGGAGGAATGGCTTCAATCTGAGGGCAAGTTTAGATTAGACATTCAGAGGGTGAGGGTGGTGAGGCCCTGGCACAGCTTGCTAAGAGAAGTTGTGGATGCTCCATCCGTAGAATTGTTCAAGGCTGGGTTGGATGAAGTTCTGAGCAACCTGGTGTAGTGGAAGGTGTCCCTGTCCATGGCAGGGGGATTGGAAATGAATAATCTTTCAGTCCCTTCCAACCCAAAACATTCAATATTTTTATGATTCTATGATTTTAGGTCTGAATCATCCACTTAGGATCAGTGACATGACTCAGGAGAAGACACTCATGTTCTCCTCCAGGTCCTTGAAAAGATCTTTGCAGACTTCTGCCTGCTGCATCTGTAACAACCAAAAAGATTTTCCAAAATCATTGAAAAGAGCTGGTGTTTCTGAGCACCCTGCAGAAGACCTGACCAAGAGGGTGGATCCTGGACAGGAGAACCCTGCTTCCTTCAAACAAGGCTCCTTCAGGATGCTTCTATCCAGGCCACCAACTGCTTGGAGAGCTTGTGCCCACCCAGGTGTTCATGGCCAGGGACAGGACACAGACAGGGAGCAGGGGGTGAACCATCACTGTACCTGAAGTAGAGGAAGAAAATGGTGCAAATGGATGCCAAAGCTGAGATCAGGCAGCCAACGTAGGTTATGATACTCAAGTTATTCCTGTGCACAGAGGTGATCTCTGGAGAGGATACCTGAGGAAGAGCAGGAATGAGAGATAGTAAGGAAGAGCACCACGGGGAATTATGTGAGGGATCTGAGGGACGGTGTTACCCACCATGAGCACAGCAAAATAGGTGAGGTGGTTGCACCTGCACTCTGTCTGGCTGCTCCCTGTCACTGTTGTACACCCATAGCTGTCCCAGCTCCCAGAACTGGCTGTGCAAGAGAAAGGGAGAGCGTCTGGTGAGCAGCAGGAACATCAGCCATGGGCTAAAGGATCTTCAGGGCAAGGTGTCCATGGAAAGAGGGAGAACAAGAGTGGGGTGTCCCAGCTTGTGTCAGGCCAAGCACAGATACTCAAATAGCCCCGTCAGCACATGAGCCCATCCCTAGGGAAGGGCAAAGCTCTTAGGTTAGCTATGGAGGGAAAAAAGTGACATCAGCCCTGTGGGAAAGGCTTATGGAGATGAAGTGAGGTAGGGAGGTGCAGAGCAACCTTCACCCTGCTGGTGGGGCTGTGGTACCTTGGGAAAAGGAACTGACTTCACACCCAAGGGCAGGGGCACTCACCAGAGCTGTCCTCCTGCCAGAAGACGCACAGTGGGGTTACGTTCTTCTGCAATGACAAAACCACAGGCCCTGGTCAGGATGCAGCTATGGATTTGTTGCCTGCCCAGCACTTTTGATAGGGGACAACACGGGGCAGGAGACAAGATGGTCCCAGGAGACAAACTACGACTTAGATAAACCAGACTCCCTGTGATGGGAGCAGGCTCCAGGCAGAGAGCACTCTGCTAACAGCAGATGGAGCAGATACCTCCTTCCAGATCCTCTTTTCCATCTTTGAGCAGGCACCCCTGACAGAGCCTTGAATGAGCCAAGGGCCTGCTAGCACAGAGTGTACCCAGTCCTGGTGACAGTGCTGGATGTGACACATCTGCCATGAGGGATCTCCTGGAGGAGAAGGCAGTGCCACCACCAGTGCACACTGTGGAGCCATGATTGTGATACGGCCCCAGAAGACACAGCAGACCCTGCACAGGCAGGCCATGGCCATGGACCTGCTGGACTGTGACCACACCCTAAGCTGGCAGGGCCTGAGCCCTCCTTCCCCCTCCATTCCTGGTGGGATCAGGTTCTATGAGGCCGTTTCCCCACCTACCGGCAGCTGGTCATGGAAGAAAGTGAGGACCACTGGGTCAGAGAGGTTGGCCACCACTGTGTCCACCAGGGAGATGCTGACTACCTTGTCACCCAGGACATGGCTGCTGTTTTCATCCTGTAGAACAAGAGGAGGCAGTGGCAGTGTGGGAAGGGAGAGCTGCCAGGTGTGAAGCAGAGGAGAGTTCCCAAGAAGGTCCCATGACTTTACCTGTCAAGCTTTTAGCTTATCTTTGAAGCATCTTCTCCCAGTGAGCACCAGCACCCTGGTCTGGTGGCACCCCTGCAGCCCAGTACCACGGGACACCCCACCATGCCATTCACCTGGGCATTACCTGGAACATGGTCTGCCTGCTGATGTCCATGAGGAGCACCCTGTGCTCCACCACCTCCTCCTCCTCCTCCTTCCCCATCATGAACAGGCTGCTTGGCAGGTCCACCGTGAATCCCTGGATCTCTCCACTCTCCTGCAAAGAAAGATTAATCAGGAAAGAGGTTGAGAGAGAGCACGATAGGCCAAGAGCACTAGGGCAGACTCTCCAGGACCCACCTCTCTCTGGGAAGCAAAGGTCAGGTGCTGAGGAGCCCGACTGGGCTGGACCCTCAGGACAGTCGCATGCACGGTGGCC